TCATAGAAAAAATTCCAAGAAAGAAGGAAGAAATAATAAAATAAGTAAAAATATGAAAAAGACATAAAGCTTTTATGTTGCTGTTTGAACAACTAATAAAGTAGACCAAGTTCTGGAAAAAATAAAACAAAAAGAGAAAGAAAATATACACATACTAATAATAAAAAAGTGGCCATATCAATAGATAATGGAAAGATTTATAAACAGAATAAGAGGATATTATAAACAATTTTATTGATCTTGAATATATATATTCATGTATATACATTTGACCCTTGAACAATGCAGGTTTGAACTGCCTTGGTCCACTTATATCTGGATTTTCTTCTATCTCTGCCACCCCAGAGACAGCAACACCAATCCCTCCCCTTCCTCCTCATCCTCAGCCTACTCAATGTGAAGATGACAAGGAAGACCTTCATGATGATTCACTTTTACTTAATGAACGAGAAATATGTTTCTCTTCCTTATGATTTTCTTAATAACATTCTCTTTTCTCCGGTTAAGAATATAACATATAAAATATGTGTTAATCAACTGCTTACGTTAACAGTAAGACTTCCACTCACCAGTAGGCTATTAGTATTGAGTTTTAGGGGACTCAAAAGTTATATACAAATTTTCAATTCTGACGGGGGTCAGTATCCCAACTACTGCATTCTTCAATGGTCAAATGTATTTTTATATATTGAATAAACATATACATATATGTATACTAATACACTCATGTATATGTGAAATTGTTACATATCTTGGAAAATACAATTTACCACTACTGACTCCATAGGGAAACCTAAGTAGTTCTATAATCATTAAAATCTTCTGACAAAAAACACTCCAAACACAGATGATTTTACAGGTGATTCAAGGAAATATTCAAGGACCAGATAATCCCAATCTTGCACAAATTCTTCCAAAGAATAGCATAAGGGAGAATACTATTCATATTATTTTATGATAATACCAACATCAGAATAGTACAGAAAAGTATAATTACATGCCAATCTTAAATCACACATATAAATATAAATATCCAATGTTTACCATTGTATCTATATCCACATACAGAAGTTACTACATATTTACCAGGAAAGGTTTATTCCAAGAATACAAAATTGGTTTAATATCAGAAATTAAATACTATACTATGTTCTTAATATAGTTAAAGGAAAAAAGTATATATATTCTCAACAGCTACAGGAAAACCATTTGAAAAAACATCCATTTATAATAAAAGTGCTTACCAAAAGAAGAACAGAACTTTCTTATCATGGGGAAGATGGTTACAAAGTAACTATAGCAAATGCCATTTTTAAGTTGATATAGTGAAATATTTCTCTTTATTATCTTAAGGACAAAACAAGATGCCCTTTACTACTTTCATTCAACAGTGTACTGGAGCTCCTAGTCATTGTCACAAGACAGAAAAAAGAAATTAAAGGTATAAGAATTGGAAAGGAATAAACAAAATTATCATTATTTTCAGATGATTGCCTATGTTGCAAATCTGAAAGAAGCTACAGGTAAATTTAGAATTATTAATTTTCAAGTTTGATTGATATATAATATATAAAAGGCAACTGAATTTCTGTATGCCAGCAACAATAAGCTACAAAATATAACTTTTACAAAAGGAAATACTTACAATAGCAGTAAAAATATAACGTGCCTAGAAATTTAACAAAAACTGAGCCAAAAGAAAACAATAAAAAATAGTACAAAACATTGAAGATGACATAAATAGTGTCATAAACCATGATCATTGAGGAAGAGAGCCAATGTCTTAGAAGTAATTTCTTCCCAAAATGATTTATAGAGCGCAATGGTTTGAATGTGTCCCTCAAAAAGCAGGTGTTGGAAACTTAATCCCCAATGTAACCGTGTTGAGAGGTGGGCTTAATGAGAGGCCATCAGGCCATGACGGCAGAGTGTATGAATTAATGCCGTCACTACGGGAGTGAGTTCATTATAAAAGGCGGCGTTCACCCTCCTTTTACTTTCTTTCGCCCTTTTTCTGCCTTTATGCCATGGAATGACACAGTAAGAAGGCTCCTGCCAGATGCCAGCCAGTCAATCTTGGACTTCCCAGCCTCCAGAACTGTGAGCTGATAAATTTCAGTTTCTTATACATTACTCAGTCTCAGGTATTTTGCTACAGTAGCGCAAAACAGACTAAGACACAGAGTTGATCCAGTATCAATCAGAATTCCAGCAGGTTTATTTGCTTGTTTGTTTCTTGTTTTGGAGAACTTGATAAGTTTATTTAAATATTTATATGGAAGGTCAAAGGTCCAAGTAAAACTAAAACACTCTTAACGAAGAAAAAACAGGTGATAGGACTTTTCCTACCAAATTTCAAGGCTTTTAATAAAACTATAGTGGTTAAAAATTATTAGTATTGAGGCAGAGTTAGACAAATAGAAAATAAGAATGGGCTTAAAACAAATTCATGCTTATATGGAAATCCTGATTCATGCAAATCACTGGTGCTGGGGCAATTGATTATCCATATGGAATAAACAACATAAAAATCAGTTTCCATGTGAATTAAGTCTAACAGCCAAAGGCAAAACCATAACACTTTTAGAAAACGATACACTAAAATTAATCTATGATCTTGAGAAAATAATTATCAAACAAGACAAGCTATAAAAGAAAGTACTACTAACTTGAAATTAAATTCAAAACTTAGATTCATTGATAGAGACAGAGAAAGAAACCGACATAAAGACAGAGAAAAAAAAAAACCTCAAAAGCAATTCGGAAAGATGTCTGTGGCATATATAGCTAACAATTATTGTTTAGTACCCAGATTATATAAAGAAAGCATTCCAATGAGTCAATAAAAAAGGTAAACAATCCAATATAAAAATGAATACGAGACAGGAATCAAAATTTCACAAAGAGCACAAAAACTGATCAACATATAAAAAGACAGCCAATCTCATTAGTTATGGGAAAATGCTAATTAAAATCACAGTGAAATGTTATTTCATACCTGCCAGACTGACAAAAAATGAAATTTTACAAGACCAAGCTATGGCAAGTATGTAGAGCAACAAACGTTCATCCACTGCTGGAGGGAGTGCAAACTGGTTTAACACTTTGGAAACAGTTTAGAAATGACCTAATAAAATTGAATATACATAAATCTTATAATTCAGCAATTCTATTCCCAGCTGTATACTCTAGGGAAGCTCCCACACAAGTGTACTTGAATATTAGAGGACGTGGGCAGGCTTTAAAGTGGCCCCAATAATCCCTGCCTCCACGTGTTCATGTCCTTGTATCACCCCCTTCCCTTCAGTGTGAGATGGACCTAGGGACTCACTTCTAATGGATAAAAAATGGCAAAAATAATGGAATGTCGCTTCTAAGGTTACAAAAAGAATCTGACTTCTGTCTTCTCTTTTTCTCTGTGGGAGCCTTCACTCTGGGGGGAGTAAGCTGCCATGTTGCAACCATTCTTTACACAGAGGCCCATGTGGCAAAGAACTGATGTATCCAGCCAGGGTCAGTGAGGCCAATCAGCCTGCCAGCAATCACGTGAGTAAGCCTGGGAGAGGTCCTCGACCCTACACCTAGCCTTGAAATGACTGAGGCCCAGTCAATACCTTGATTGTTGATACAGCCTGTGAGAGACCCTGAGTCAGAGACTCCCAGCTAAGCCCCTCCTGGATTCCTGATCACAGAAACTGTAAGATAGGAGGTAACATGATTTATTGTGCTTGTTCGCTTTGGTTTGAAGCTGCTAAGTGTTGGGGTAATTTGTTACATAGCTTATAGATAATTCATACACCTCCAAAACTAGAAACAATCCAATGTCCATCAGCAGTAGAATGGATAAATTATGTACATTTACACCATAAACGACGAAAATGGAAGGAAGCATGAAAGATGAATCTATAAAACTTAGGAATACGTACAGGATAATGTCATTGATATAAAAGTACAAAATTGAGAAAGCAAACACATGTGTTTTAGGAATACACACACAAATATGGTAAAACTAAAAAGAAAAGCAAGGGAATCATTAAGACAAAAATCACGAAAGATGTCACATCTCAGAGAAGGGAGGAGAATGGGCATCAGTTTGGACTCATGGGCTCCTAAGGTACTGTGGCACCCTATTTCTTGACCCAAGGAGATGGTCAGGCATTCGTTTCATTATTTTTTAGACCATTCTGAGATGTTTCACGTACTTTTTATTAAACATTTTAAAAACCAAGTATTGAAACCAATTCATCAACAAATCACTAGTTTGGAGGATGAAAGTGATGGACCGATGGTTGGCTGGTCAGCTAGACAGACACATTATGTCCTTTATGTCTAGTTCGAGCTGTACTTCTTCTAAATTTCCATGATTATCCAATTCGCAAAGATCTTTTTCTCTTGTACTCAAGGCCTTCTTCCGTTGCAGGTTGGGCCAAACCAGCGGCCAGCTGTCGGCTGATTACCAGCGAACTGTATCATCCAGCACTTGCTGCTTCAGGCCAAATGCATTCCAGACTAACATTCAGCCTGAATCCCCGCGCGGCTCTCACCGCAACCCCTCCCCAGGTCCCTTCCCCCACCACAAACCCACACCGAGCCCGTGGGCGCCTAGAGCACTGGGGTGGATAAGAACTTCCACCTGGGCTTAACAGAGACAAGCTAGCCTAGAAGAATGCAAGCCCCCAGCAGGCGAGATCAAATCGCCTCGAGGGTGCCTGCTAGCTCAGATCTAGATCTTAATGGCTTCTTGCGGAGCAAAAAACAAATCCTACGAAAATAGGAAGGGTCATCGCCTCCCGCCCAGCAGAGGGCGTAACAATGCGGCGAGATGAAATAGGGACCAAGCTGCAGAGAAAAATCATCAACGGGGTAGAGACTAAGGAAGGGATCCTCGGTGGAACGGCTCTATCACCTGGGGGAGCGCGGAGAGGCCGCAGTCTACGCCCGGCCCTCCCCAGACGCTCAGCATCGCACCCCGCGCACCGCTCCCCGCCCCGGACACTAACCCGGAGCCCAGGCCTCGGTCACCGCGGGCCTCTCCTGGTCCAGAGTCTACGCTGAACCCCACTCACTGTTTGCCCCGCTGTTCCCTGCAGCGCGGGTTCGGGGCAGTAGGAACCTGCTAGGAGCGGCAGGCGGTTGTTCCCAGGAGGAAGCAGCTTCTCTGCCCAGGAGGCACAGGGCGGCGGGCTCGAGACTGCAGGATGTGGAAAACCGTAGGCGGAGACTGCGGGGGCGGGGGGGTGGCAAGGAGGTGCCGTCCCGGGAGCTGATTGGGCGATGCGCACGGGGGCGGGGCTTGGGCGTTGCCGCCCCACCCCTAGACATCAAAGGCCCTGCCCCCAGATGTGGCTGCGAATCCCGAATGCAGGCCTAGGCGCCCGCCCAGGAATATAGGGAGTAAATTGTTGAAAACAAAACAAAAGTGAGACTATTTCTGAACAAGTGAGGGCCTTGATAAATAGCGAGAGATGTTTATATAAAATAATACACTACTGTTTTTAAGGACGAGTAAAATCTATCGGTTCTAGATATATTTTTTAATTAAAAAAGCAAGTTGTATTAAAATTGAGAGTAGGATCTCTTTCTTTCTCAATTTCCTTTTTTTTTTTTCTTCGGGGGCTGGGTCTGGTTCTGCCACCCAGGCTGGAGTGCAGTGGTGCAGTCATAGCTCACTGCAGCCTCAACCTCCCAGGCTCAAGTGATCCTTCCACCTCCTCGGTGGCTGGGACCACAAGTGCTCCGCCACCGCGCCCAGCTAAGTTTTTGATTTTTTGTTAGAGAGGGGGTTTTACTTTGTTGCCTGCTGGTCTCGAACACCAGGGCTCAAGTGATCCTCCTGCCTCGGCATCCCAAAGTGCTGGGATAGCAGGCCTGAGCCACCGCACCAGCTTTAGCATTAAATTCTTGTATGAAGAAGACATGCTGCATGTGCTTATGTAAGAGGCGGGGCTAACGGTGGAGAAATTGTCTGTTGATTCTTACTTTCACAACCACTGAATTGTTTTTTTAAAAATCACATACATTGTTTTTATAAGTTTAATAAAACAGTAAGGCATTGAGAATGTTACTAACCAATCAATAGATGACAGATATTGAGCATGAGGGAGGAAACAAAGAAAAGAGTAGCAGGGAAAAAGCCTGGACTTTGAAGCCACCACATCCCCTGCTTAAAAGCTGGGGAGTATATTCATTGCTAAGGCTGCTGTGATAAATTACCACACATTTAGTGGCTTAAAACAACACAGATTTACTACATCTTCCAAGACTATAGGTCAGAAGTCCAGCACAGGTCTTACTGGACTATCATCCTGGTGTAGGCAGGGATGCGTTTCTCTCTGCAGAATCTAGGGGCAAATCTATTTTCCTTGCTTTTCCCAGCTTCCAGAGGCTGCCCGCATTCCCTGGCTTGCAGCCCTTTCCTTCATCTTCAAAGTCAGCAATTTCATGGCTCCAGCCTCTGCTTCTGTGTCACATCTCCTTCTCCGAGTCTCCTGCTTCCCTCTTTCACTTTGAAAGACCCTGTGATTCCATTGGACCTCTCTGCTAATCTAGATAATTTCCCATCTCAAGGTCAGCTAATCAGCAGCCTTCATTCTGTCTGCAACCTTAACTCTCCCTTGCCATGCAGCATTGCATATCACAAGTTCTGGGAATTAGGATCTGGACATCTGTATTAATCCATTTTCGTGCTGCCGATAAAGACATTCCTGAGACTTGGCAATTTACAAAAGAAAGAGGTTTAATTGGACTCACAGTTCCACGTGGCTGGGGAGGCCTCACAATCATGGCAGAAGGCAAGGAGGAGCAAGTCACATCTCACATGGATGGCGGCAGGCAAAGAGACAGCTTGTGCAGAGAAACTCCTATTTTTAAAACCATCAGATCTCCTGCGACCCCTCCACTATCATGAGAAGGCATGGGAAAGATCCGCCCCCTTGATTCAGTCATCTCCTACCAAGTCCCTCCCATAACACATGGGAATTATGGGAGCTACGAGATGAGATTTGGGTGGGGGCACAGAGCCAAACCATATCAACATCTTTAGGGAGCCATTTTCCTGCCTATCACAAAGGGCTTGTTAGCTTCTGTCTTAGTGTTTTCATCTGTAACATTGGGGATAGTGACTGTCTCTACTTCATGGAATATTTATGAGGATTAAATGACTTAATACAGATAAAGCTCTTAAAGCAGTGTCTGGCACATGGAAAACCCTATGTGAATGTTCACCATAACCAGAGAAGGGACAGATCCTTCCAGACTTCTTCCATGATTTCCTTGACCCTTGCCTCCTTTGCTCTTCAAATCTTCAAGATGTGTATTCTCTCCTCATTTCCCTGCAAATCTAGTCTCCTTCAAAACTACACAGGCCTGGCCTGAGATTGGAGGACAGACATCGGTAGGAGTTTACTTCTAAAAGATTTCTAGAAGTGAACACACCCAGCTACTAGCACAGAGGTGTAGTTTATGACTACCATGGTGAAAGGAAAAGCCAGCGTCTGGGTGTATTTGTGCAGTTAAATGGGGTGTTGGGGGGGAAACTTTGGGGGCAGGTGGGTGTTTGGGGATTGTAGACTGAGTGTTTCTAAAAGACCAGGATTGCTTGCAGTTACCTCTCTTTCTCATTCTCTCATTTCTCATTCTCTCTGCCAAGACAGCTGCACTTCTCTCTTGCCAGATCCCTCCTCCCCTCAGAAGCTGATAGTCAACAGGACATAAGCCTGCCCACCCCCACTCTCTCTCCAGGCACACAAGCAAAACCCACCATTTTTGGTTGCTGTTGTTTTTGCGGTGCAATTGGTCATAGAATTTCAGAGCTAAAACATCTCATCCACTCTCCTCCTTTATAGTAACAGAAAAAGGAACAGTGAAATGCAAACAGCAGAAGGGGTTTGCAGCAGGTAGAGATGGAGCATGACCTTGGAATTCAGTTGCCAGTGCTCTTGCAGTACAAAGTCCTTGAGGCTGAGATCACTGGCTAGTCCTCTCGGCGCCTCATGTTTCTCTCTCTCTCTGTGTGTGTGTGTGTGTGTGTGTGTGTGTGTGTGTGTGTGTTTATGTTTTAGGGGCTGGCAGGACATGGGGCCAGTGTAGCTGAGAAAACCCCTTCACCAGCAAGCACACCAAGACTCCCAGACCTGGGCCGTTGCGAGGTCTGGGCTAACTGAAGCCAGGAGTTTCCATTTCGCCTGCCTCCTCCCACTACTGGCCACCCCTCGGTTCCTCCACCCCTCACCCACCACTGCCCCACCCATTCCTCTCCTTCTCAGACTTGCTCTTTGCAGACTGGCTGTGAGCCTGGGAGGAAAGGAGGAGAGAGGGGAGCCCCGCCAGATTGCAAGCAGAGTGCTGACAGCCCCTAGGAGTTTAGGATGACCTTTCTTACACATCATCGCATGTGTTACAGCTCTGAAGAGCAGCAGTCTTTTTGGTGGCTAATAAGTGCAGTACTAGACAACAAGGCAAGTGGTCTGTTGGTAAGAGTTTCTGCCCACGATGCTCTCTACCTGTAAGGAACTAAATTATCTCGGGGATGAAAGTGAACAATATAGAAGAGAGAAGATGGACAGAAAGACCCAAGTGAAATGAGCATTAAAAGGGAAGCAGGGTTTAGAATTGAGGGAGGCCTGTGAGATTGGGGCAGAAAGGCAAAACAGGTCAAATGGGCTCATAAGGGAAGTGGAAGGGTTTTGATTTTGAGAAAGGTGCTGTAGGGAGGAGAGACACAGCGGTGGGGGTGAAGGAACCCACAGTGCAGGGAGAAGATCTTATTTATATTAGAGTGAGGTCATTGGGGGGAAAGAGAGAGAGACAGAGAAAGAGAGAGAGAGAGAGAGAACCCATCTGATTCCCTTCCTTCTGGCTTGACTGGAAGCTGGAAAGGATGGATGGAGAGGGTTGGTGCTGAATTCTGAAACCAGTCCTTGGTGATGTGGCCTGCAAATTGCTCTCAGCTTTATGAAATTTGTAGTCTTGTCTTTAGGATGTCTAAACCTGAACCAGTTCTCGAAAAACATGGCAATGTAATCCTCTCCATTTCCCAACTTGCCTGCCACCTCTCAGTCTGGTAGCTAGGATTTGTAATTCCTTGCCTCAGGCACTTTTCCAATGCAGAAAGCAAAGCGTCAGGGGCCACTTCATGGATGTGTGACCACTGCAGTCCCATGGATCCCCACACTCAGGAGAGCCTCACCCTTGGTTTAATGCTCTGTTGTCTCCACCTTGGAATTCTTAATATGTTTTGAACAAGAGGCCCCACATTTTCATTTTGCACCATGCCCCCAAATTATGTAGCTGCTTCTGCAAAGCATCCTGAAGGAGTCAGTCTTTAGTCAAAGCCTGAGCCACTGGACAGATTACCAAAGGTGCTTAGACAGTGAGGTGAGGGTGGGAGGGCCTTGGAAAAGCACCAAAGCCAAGAGGAGAGAATGCAGAGACCTGGGGTAGGACCTGTGGACCCTAGAAGAGCAGTGATGGGCTGACCTACGCATGTGTTATTGGAGTACCCTAAGGAGCTGACCAGACTCCAGAGGGGATGCCCAGGACCCCGTCAATGACTATGACAGAATTTTCTGTTAAATCAGTGGGATAGGAACTCAATGTCAGCGCTGAGTTGACTGAATAAAAACAAAATCATTTTTGTTTTACATACATGAAATTTTCAGCTGAGACTGATACTTGCCTCATGTGCAAGCAGAAAAATGTTTTCCAAATTTACTTATAATAGAGGTCCCAGATCAGCAGCCCATAGGCTGGACTTGGTCCCCCAGGGTCTGTTTAGGGGAACTGGATAGTCCTCTAAATCTTTTCACTGATTTCCAACATTTAAGGAATCAGAAGTTTTTACATAAGCAGCAGACTCCCAGCTTCTCTTGAATAATTTGGAAACAGAGCATCAGAGGGCCTGCATTCTCAAGGCATGACAATCTAAAGCCCCCCTTTAGAAGAGTGTTCTGTTGGCTAGACTGCCCTACCTTCCCAACATCCTGTACCAGGCCCACTTTGCCCCTTCACATTACTGTCTGACCTTTGTAGGCAGTGGGACTTGTAATCAGGTCCTGAATGTTTCCCAACCATGCCCTTTCACTGCGTAGTACTCCCATGGGTGGGTGAAAGGGATTCCTGCAGTGTTGCAACCTGAATAGGGAAAGCAGATACAGCCTCGCAAGGTGACCTGACAGGCTCCAGAAGAAAAGTTTCACTAGAATTCAATAAGGAAACCAAAGAATTGCTCAGGTAAGTGGTTCTCCACAATATGAACATTTGAAATATTGT